GGCAGCAGTTAGGAAGGTTAAGTGAGTACATAAGCTTAATGGGCCTAAAGCCCATTTCGAACTAGGCTATTTAATTAGTTATTTATGGGGCGAATTCTGAGATGGATTAGTAGATAGGATAGGGTCTTAACCCTATCCACTCAGAGAATTCAGATCTAGAAACCTCTTAATGAGATTAGGAGAAAGCTAATCTAATCTGCAGATAAGATAAGGGTTTAACCTTATCACCTAAAGAAAGGATTGATCCAAATATGATTTGGATAAGCAGCTCCTAATTGAATTAGGAGCTGATCTTTTAGGTTAACAAAAGGAGGGGGCGGCAGCCTTTAGAAGACACACATTCAGATCCTCATTAGTGCTGAAATCACAAAAGGAAAAATTAAGCATCCCTGAAGAATTCTTTCGTGCCGCCTCCCTGTTCTTGCCGCCCATGTTTGCCAGTTCGATCTCTAGTTGTGGGAGAGGTCAAGATTCGATCTTGACATCAGTTCTTTCAGAAAGAATTGATAGGAAGCTGTGCTCACGTGCCATCTTGATGATTCTTGCGAAGGACAGAGTTCTTGGAGAAGAACACTGCTGATTCTGCACTGCGCCATCTTCAGTGGGAGCAGTCTTTGGATCCTTCCTTGAGCGTGAACACCTTCGTTGGGGGATACTATTTTTCTGTATCAGGTATAATCCTCTCCTACTCCTTTTGGTTCAGATCTGGTTCAGTTTATGGTTGAAGAATGATCCTTGAAAATATGATTTTCTAAATAGGGAATGCGATTCCCAGTTGAAGGGAGAGAAAAATTTTTTGAAATTCGCCCCCTTATTCCGCAATCTTTGGGCGTCTATAGGATGGATCTCTCATCCCTTCACTTCTATCATTGGCTATAAACCTTGACTGGGAATTGCATCAACTGGATATAAAGAATGTTTTTTTAAATGGTGACCTGGAGGAGGAAGTGTACATGGTTCAGCCCCTAGGTTTTTGTGCCAAAAGAAGTGAAAATAAGGTGTGTAATCTAAGAAAGTCCCTCTATGGTTTAAAGCAATCTCCTAGAGCATGGTTCAGTGAGTTTCATATGGCGGTCTAGCAAGTAGGATTCAAACAGTGTTAGTCTGATCATACCCACTCTGTGAAGAGATGTCAAGAGCAGGTTGTGGTGTTGATAACATGTGTGGATGATATCATCATTATAAGAAACTGGACCTCAGAAATCCAAAAGTTGAAGATGTTCCTCGCCTCTCAATTCGAAGTGAAAGATCCAGGTCCACTAAAGTACTTTCTTGGAATTGAAGTTGCCCGCTCAAAAAGGGGCATCTTCATTTCTCAAAGGAAGTACATCCTTGATCTATTACAAGACACAGGCAAGTTCGGTGCAAATCCAACAGATACTCCTATGGATATTGACCATAAACTAGGTGATTGTGATGGTGGACCTTTGAAAGATGTGAAACAGTTTCAAAGGTTAGTGGGAAGGTTGCTTTATTTGTCCATGACACGTCCAAACACTGCTTATTCAATTAGAGTTCTGAGCCAATTCATGCATTCCCCTAAGAGAGCAAACATGGAGGTAGCAGAGAGGATTCTTAGGTATTTGAAGAAGCATCTAGGAACAGGTTTTCTATTCAGTAAACATAATCATTTGAAGGTGGAAGTCTATATAGATGCTGATTAGGAAGGTGTTGTGGATGATAGAAAGTCCACGAGTGGGTACTGCACGTTTGTGGGAGGAAATCTAGTGACATAGAGAAGTAAAAAACAAAGCGTATTTGTGAGGTCAAGTGTTGAAGCGGAGTATAGGTCTATGGAACATGGGGTGGCCAAAGTACCTTGGCTGAAGAATCTTCTAAGGGAGTTTGGGGTTACTGTTCACAATCCTATGTCCTTTTACTGTGACAACAAGGCAGCTACAAACACTGCTAGCAACCCTATCCTATACAATAGGACCAAGCACATTGAAGTGGACAAACACTTCATAAGGGAAAAATTGGAAAAGGGAGAAATTTGTATTCCTTATGTCAACTCCAAGGAGCAAAGAGTTGTGTGACAAGTTGGACAAGATAGATATATTCAGCTCAACTTGAGGGGGGAGTGTTGTTAGAGTTGCTCTTTGTTTCTGCTGTTAGGGTGCTATCGGTCTAGGGTGCTGTCAGTTTATTCTTTTCTTGTTTTAATTATTTTATTATTAGGGTGTGCTTCCAGGGGCATGTTTGTATTTTTTTTCTTTTAATTACTTCTTGTTATTATAAATAAGAAGCCGGGTGCCGCCAACAAGAACTATTGACTCTCAAACAGATTTCTTTCTCTTTTCTTCTCTTCTCTTCCCTCTTCTCCCTCTCCTCCCTCTTCCCTCTCTCTCTCCCAGAAAGAAAACATAAGATTCAATTATGGGGGCAAAATTGTAAAGTAACCATATTCAAAATTCAACATTCAAGTTCCAGCTTTAACATTCTCTGTGTTCAGATATCAAATAAAGCAAAAAACAATTTCCAAGTACTTTTTGAGAGCGTTTTTTTGCTTTTCAGACATCAGAATTCAGACCAAAATAACACCACCTTAGTCTACCCTTGGTAATGTCATTAACAATATAGTGGTTTTCTGTTTCTTTCTTCTTTTGAGTTTGTTTCATAAAGTTTGGTAAGATGAATGTGTTACCTGAAAACTCTTTACTCCATTATTCATTTTTTTCTTTTATTAACTATAAAAGAATATAATTATAATAAAGTACCAAAATTAAAACTGCAAAGCATAGATCTAGGAGAGTAGCTTACTTGAAGTAACATGTGAAGAAAGTAAACAAAATCAGTCAAACTTCTTAGAACCACAAGTGTTTTTGTCATGGGCCAATTAAGAACTATGCACTTATACTCCTGGAAAAAATAGAATTAAAATTAACATAAAAAAGGAGAAAATATAATGTAATGCAAATATATAGCATGGAACAAAATCAAGGTACAATGTTTTGGTTTTATGGGAAAATGATCCTTCATAAAATACAAAATTTGTAGGAAACTTTGAAATGGCATTGTCAATTTGATGGAAGTGTTTTAATATTTCAGTCATTGTGTTGCAGTTGTAGGTTACAGAGAGAAGAGAGTAGAAGAGAGGGAGAAAAATAATGATCTGAACTAGAGAGAATGAATTCTCTCCCAACCAACTTCAAGATTATATAGATATGCTAAGATTACAAGACTAATATGCCCCTACTTAAGTGTGGGGACATGTAATCAAGGTAAGAAAAAGTGACAAAGCACAAATTAATAAAGTGATAAAAGACTTATTTCGACTGCTGCTACAGTAGTCCGAACAGGAAGAGGAGGAGAAGAAGAAGAAGAAGAAGAAGAAGAAGAAGTGGGGTCAGTCGAAAATCTGATGGTTAACCCATTCAGTCGACCCCCTTAATCTATATTAGCTTCTAATCATGTTTACAAAGATAGAAATGCCCTTACTTAAGTGTGGGGCAGAGTAACTCTAATAACACAGCCACATAAGCAAGTTACTTAATAAACAGAAGAAGACTAAACTACCCCTATTCGACACATCTTAACAAGACTAATTAACCCTGTTTCCCAAACTGAGTCCTTTTGTAACCAAATCTGCTACTAATTTCCTGAGCTCACGTGCTTTGTGCTTATCACTCCACCAAGGACTTTCTCTCTTATGAAATGACAATCAACCTCTATGTGCTTTGTCCTCTCATGAAAAACTAGGTCAGATGAAATATGAATGGTAGCTTGATTATCACAATACAATTTCATAGGGCTGTTTACTAAGAGTCCAATCTCCTGTAGGAGGTTTCTCAACCACATTGACTCACATGTTATGTGTGCCATGGCCCTGTAATCATCTTCAGCACTGCTTCTTGCCACAACTACCTATTTCTTACTCTTCCATGTAACCAAATATCCTCCAAAGGAGGTGCAATACCCTGTGGTTGACCTTCTATCAAATACTAAGCCAGCCCAATCTGCGTTGGTGTCACCTTCTATTTCAAGTTTTCCTCCTAACCTGTACAATAACCCATGACCTGGAGTGAAGGTTTCCATATATTCCATCTCATAACATTTTGAGTAACCTGACGGTGCACAATCTAGCAGCTCTCAGTTGGCAGATGACTCGGATGCCGAGCTGGAGGTTTTCCTTGTCAGAAGTCAAGCTGGGCTTGGTCGAGCTGAATAGTTCTGCAAAAGATCAATGCTAGAGTGCCCGGGTTGTTCTACCTAGGGAGGGCACTCTGATGCTTAAATTAGCGAGTAGTTTCTTGGAGAATTAGAGAATATTGGAATGCTTTGAGATTTAGAGAGTGCAAAAGCTGAATCGCGCGTACCTTGTCTCAGGGGGATGACACCTTTATATGGGTGTGAGGAATTAGAGACCTCATATAACGGGTCCTAGGTTCCTAGAGAGCCATTTCTGCTAAATCGGGGAAGAATATCTCCATCGGTTATGTAATCTGCACAGAGAGCTGAGGTCCGTCCAGTCGACTCTAATGTGGATGATGCGGGTAGGTCGGCTTAACGGTCAGGCGTTATCATTCAGGCGAACTCGGTCTTGGTAACGGATCTATGTCATAGGTTGGTGAGCATGCCTTGTAAGTCGCCACTTATTCCCTACCCTACTTAGCTTGGCCAGTCCCCAAAAGAGGTCGCTCCTTACTCGGAGGTCCCTTTTAGGTCGGCCAAGTTGAGCTACTTTAGGTCGGCCTTAGGCGAGATGCTACTAGCCACCCTGCTAAGGTGATCTACTTACTCAGTGTCGAGGTGTCACCTAGATTCCACGTGTCGCAATGTTACTCGGTGGACCAAATTACCCCTCATCATAACCCTTTGCAACTAACCGGGCTTTCAATCTTTCCACCTTGCCACCTGGTAAATATTTGATAGTATGCACCCATGTACAACCAACAACATGATTACCAAGAGGAAGAGTAGTGAGTTTCCACATGTGATTGTGTGCAAGAGTAAAGAGTTCCTCTTGCATTACCTGACAACATCATAGTGCGGTAAAAGCTTCCTAGACAACCTTAGGAATAGATATAGAGAACAAAAGAGAAATAAACTGGTGATGGGAATTAGAAAGGTTAGAAATAGAAACATAATTGGATATCAAGTGAAGAGTACAACTACGCTTACCTCTAATCAAAGCAATGGGAAGGTCTAGGTTAGAAGTAGAAGACAACACTAGGGCAGGATCTATCAATAGAGTAGGTTTAAGAGGAGCCAGTGTCTATCAATGAGTATACCTTCGCTTGATTGGTGGCTATTCAATGTGTTCACACTAGAGGAGATGAAGGCTCAACCACAACTAGAACAGTAGGGATGGCATCATCAAGTGGAATTAGAAGAGGAACCATTAGAGGAGAGGGAAAAACATCAACACTACTGGAAAGTGGAACAGACTCAAAAAGGGTAACATCAAGACAAATAACTGATCACTGAGTGAGAGGATCATAACACTTATAACCTTTCTGGGTCCTAAAATAGCCAAGGAAGATACAATATAGAGAGATTGGGTTGAATAGGCCTTTCTTTTTCCTTTTATTTAAGAAGCTTTGTATATGTTGTAGTGGGCCTTCTTTATGGGCCTAATTCTTATTTCTTGTTTATGTTTTAAATCAGTTGCCTGTTGAGCAAGAGAAGAGAGGAGGAAGAGAGGAAGAGAGAAGAGAAGAGAGGATAGGCGAGAGGACTGAATGCCTCAAAGAATACTCCAAACGAGTGAAGCAGTTGTTATTAATACTATACTGGTCGTACAACATAAAGTATGGAAAAATTACAGAAATACCCCTGCAGTACTAAACCTGTGTACAACAACATCTGTCAACACCCCCCCTCAAGTTGGGGCATAGAAATCAATCATGCCCAACTTGTCACAGATATCATGATGTCTGGAATAGTTTAGCACTTTTGTGAAGATGTCTGCCAGTTGCTTTTCAGAGCTGACATAGGGAGTACATACTTCGCCAGTGATGACTTTCTCTCCGATAAAATGCTTGTCAACTTCGATATGCTTTGTTATGTCATGTAGTACCGGGTTAGCAGCAATACTTATAGCTGCTTTGTTATCACATAATAGAGTTATGGGTTTGTCCACTGGGAAACCCAACTCACTCAACAGATTCTTTATCCACATATCTTCAGCTACTCCGTGGGCCATTGCACGGTATTCAGCTTCAACACTGGATCTAGCCACCACAGTTTGCTCTTTACTCCTCCAAGTAACAAGGTTCCCTCCTACAAAGGTGCAATAACCACTAGTAGACTTTCTGTTACTTTGAGATCCAGCTCAATCTGCATCTGTATAAACTTCAACTCTCAAATGCCCATGCCTTTGAAATAACAAGCCAGCACCAGGAAACTTCTTAAGATATCGTAGTATCCTCTCTGCTGCTTCAAGATGAGTAGACCTAGGTGCATGCATGAACTGACTAAGGACACCAACAACATATGCGGTGTCTGGACGGGTCATTGAGAGATATAACAATCTCCCTACAAGCCTCTGAAATTGTTTCACATCTTTAAGAGGTTCACCCTGGCTGTCACTTAATTTATGGTTGGGGTCAATGGGAGAGTCAGTTGGCTTAACCCCCATCTTTCCAGTGTCCTGAAGAAAATCTAAGACATATTTCCTTTGGGAGATAAAGATACCTTTTTTTGATCGAGCAACTTCAATTCCAAGGAAGTATTTGGCAGGTCCTAGATCCTTCACTTCAAACTGAGTGGCAAGAAAACCCTTCAACCTTTGAATTTCATCCTTCCAATCACCAGTAACAATTATGTCATCCACATATACTATTAAGACAGCCATTTTACTTTCTCCCCTTTTCACAAACAGTGTGTGATCTGAATGACATTGCTTGTATCCCTTTTGCTGAACCAAGCTCTTGGTGATTGCTTCAGCCCATACAAAGACTTCTTTAACTTACACACTTTATGTTCATTGCCTTGAGCCAGAAAATCAGGGGGTTGAACCATATAAACTTCCTCTTCAAGGTCACCATTCAAKAAAGCAWTCTTGATGTCAAGCTGATGTAGATCCCAATTCAGATTAGCAGCAAGAGAGAAAAGAACTCTAATAGAGTTCATCTTGGCAACAGGGGCAAAAGTTTATGCATAATCAAGTCCATATACTTGAGTAAACCCCTTTGCCACTAAACGAGCTTTATACCTCTCCACGGTTCCATCAGCCACATGCTTGACCGTGAACACCCATTTACATCCAACTGGATCCTTTCCCTTAGGAAGATCAACAAGTTCCCACGTGTCATTTTTATGAAGGGCATTAATTTCTTCCGTCATGGCATTTGTCCATTCTGGTACTGAAAGAGCTTCTGCCACATTCATGGGAATAGGGGCACTATCAATGGAGATAAGGAAGGCACGAAATGAGGGTGAAATGTTCTCATAGGAAACAAAGTTGGAAATGGGATGTTTAGTGGTGCACAACCTAACACCTTTCCTGTGGGCAATAGGAAGGTCAAGATCATTAGCAACAGAGGAGTCAGGAACATCATTGGGAGTCAAGTTACCTGAGTGGRTATGATCTTMCCCCGAGGAGTTTGATGGCACTTGAGGTACAGCTTCTGGATTCTCCACAGCTCTTGAATTTGGTTGGCCTTTGCGACGGCAAGAAAAGACATGGAAAGGTGGAGGATCGGGAAGAGAAGGAGGCTGAACCAATGGCAAAGGATCAGAAAGTGAAGGAAACTGAACCAGTTTATCCTCATGCCTACACTCCCCCAGAGGAGAAACAGGAAAAAATGCTCATTTTCAAAGAAAGTAACATCCATGGAGACAGAGAATTTCTAAGAAACAGGATCAAAGCAACGATACCCCTTTTGAGTGAAAAAGTAACCAAGAAATATGCATGG